ACTTCTTCTTCTGACATTAATCTCAAAATATGATTTTGAAGTATTGCAATGTTATTTCTCTTTATAACTTTTGTTTTCAACATATTAGCTATAACCTAATTTTTTTTAACTACTATTGTCTTAATGATGAAAATCAGATATTATTTAACAAACCTGGTTCTTGAATAAGACCCAAGGTATAAATTATTTCTTTGATTTCAAAAAATTATTTAGCTAGTTATTTTCGTTTCCAATCTTTAATTTTTTCTCGCTGAGCTATGATCTTATATAGTTGTTAGCAGCACTGAATGGAACCCTATCCAAGTTGGCTTCATAGCCAGAAATTTTATAGATACAACTCGTGCAGTTATTAATTACAGATTGTGCTTTGTCATTGCATATAATATAATAGTTTTTCGCATTGCTACTAATTTTCTTCAATTCATTTTTGAGAGTAATAAAAGATTGCACAATTGATGATAAAGAGCTAATATACTTTTCGATTAAGATAATAAGAGATTCTATGAGTTTCTTAAAAGACTGTGTACTGCTTTCAAGCTTTTTAAAGTGAATGACGACACTATTTTTTTCATGCTCGAAATCGGCTCAAATGAAATCATGAAATGCCAGAGTAGTTGTAATAATTTTTTTGTTTCTCCTAACATCTTTAACGAAAAAATTTATTTCATTAAGAAATTCTTCAGAAGATAATGTTATAAAGTTTTCCATAAACTTTTTAATTTCTATTGTTGCTTCTTTTATAAGTAGAAAAATCTCTTTGTAATAAACAAGGGTATATTTTAGGATTTTGTGCCAAAAATTGATAAATTCTTTAAAAACTGCAGTATTATCATCACAAATATCACGAAGGGATGAACAAATAAGTCGAAGATTCTTAGTCACATCTTGAATACTATTATAAACTGCATCCAAAGTGTCTGTGATCTTTAGATTCATTGTCACAAAGTTTACAAAAAAATGGTTAAATTAAATCTTTAAATAGTGATACTGTCTGTAGTCTCTATCTTATCATTATGCATAAAATCACCCATACTGCTATTTGTAATAGCTGATCATTATAAATTAGTTTCTGGAATACCGCTTTTGTAGTTTTATAAAATTTACATTCATCTCAAAACATATTAAACAAGTACAATGAAAGACTAGAAGTATTTCGAAGAAGTTTATGATTCTGATAGTAATCATTATGACAAAATATAGTCTAGAGTATTTATGTGGTTCTCAAGGTTGGCATTTTATTATATTTTTTCTATTGATTTATAATTCTATTTACAATTTTTTTATTTTTTATTGTCAAAATTTTAATATTAACTTATTAAATAAAAAATAATTTAAATTTATTATTTTACTATACCTCTAATAATATTTAATTGGTATAATAGTTATAAT